CACGTGCAGTGCCGTGGTGAGCACTCGTCTGTAGTGCAGCTCCACTCTGTTGGTGCAGCGTGGCGACACTGTGGTTTGTGTAGCGGAGTTTTTTATACACTTGCTGACGATCATGGGGGCGGGGGGGGGGTGGTGTTAGGGGTGTTTGACCATACTTCACCGCCCGCTTGCTTGAAGCAGCAGTGATGTTCCCAGCTGCGTGACCCCTGTTGAGCGGTTCGCTGTTCCGGCAGTACATGCGTGGGAGGTGACCCGCCCCCCCACTCCTCTCCCCACCACCACTCCACCCCACCCGCCCCCCCATTCTTTACCCCCCCATCCTCTCCCCCACCACCACCACACTGCATGCCTCGCATTCCAACTCCCACCGCCATCTCCCGCCTGCAGCTCCATGCTCCCTGCATGGGGACAAGCGCAGCAGCAGCAGCGTCACGGGCTGCTGCTGCTGCTGCTGCAGCAGAGAGAGTGGGGCCGTGTAGAGCGCGCTCTGTCTCTTCACACACAGGGTACACTCTGTTGTGTTGTGTACAAGGGCCTGGTGGCTGCTGCTGCTGCAGTAGATATGTATTTCGTGCCATGGTGTAGCGGGGCGGGTTTGCAATGGGAGACTGCGGAAGAGGTGGCTGCTGGAAATGTTAACAACAAGTTTTGCTGGCTGAAGGGAGGGAGGGAGCGATGAACGGTCACAGCCTTTGGACTTGCAGGTTGCTCGTGTTAATGTTACTAAAAAAAACATTCAATATGTTTCGATTGGTAAATATCAGTACATTTTCAATATTTGTGGTCTAAAGGGTGGGGGGGTGGGGGAGAAGCGCGATGGGGGGGGGGCGGAGGTCATAGCCCCCCCCCCCCCCCCGTATCTGCCACTACACAATGCTGCACTATCTAACCACACCATCTACACCACTATAGGCAGTGCTGAGCATGCGCAACTCCAAGTCTGGGTTGTACAGCAGCATTGCGAACTACCCGCTGCACCACCGTAGTGCCTGGGGCAGTGTGGAGGGTAACACACTCGGGGCAGTGCAGTGGCTTCCCCTGCGTTTGGGCTGGTGGAGTGGCCCACGCTGCACTTGGCGCGGTGTAACAGTTTGATGCTGCGAGTTATACGACCGCATTGATTCATACTGCACTTGTTGTGATCAGCGGAGTGTACTCAGTAAACTCGCAGACACAGGCGTACTTCGGTGTAGTTGTAGTGCACTTGGCTTGGTGACTCATTCTAGATTTGAAGCTTTCCTGACTGCAAGGATTCATACTCTTAGGTTTTTCGGTAAAGTCACGTAGGTAAAAAAATAAAAAGAATAGAAATAAAATAAAAAATCACGACGTTTCGGAGGCAACACAAGTCTCCGTCATCAGGTGGGACCTTCAAAGCTAGATTTACTGCCTCACTTGAGACAGTAAATCTGGCTGTGACGGTCCCACCTGATGACGGAGACTTGTGTTGCCTCCGAAACGTCGTGATTTTTTATTTTATTTCTATTATTATTTATATTTTTTTGGTGACTCATGTTGTTGTCTACCCGTTTTGGGGGACTTAAGAACGCATTTTGTCATATTTAGGCACCGTGCAGTTGCGTAGGGGAAAGTGATCACAATGACCCCCGCCAAGTCTGTGTGGGAGACAAAGGCGGCCGGGCGTGGTGCCGGCCACCCACCCCCTCCGTGTGCCGTGCCGGCCTTCATAGGTGCTGCTCGCTAACGGCACTTGCCCGAACATTCTCTTGAGGCTATGCGGGGGATCTTTGTTGTTGTGGGTGTCTGTTCTACTCTGCTTGGCCGGGTTTTCAGTCATCATAGTTTAAATAAAAGAAAACCCATCGTAACGGAAAACGAAAATGCAATACTTTTGTCGATGATACCGTGTGGCCTTAAAGGAGAAAAAACTTTCTAGCTGATGTTTCAGGCAATGGCTCTTCTTCATAGCACAGAGAGAGGCTGGTAGAGAGACAAAGAGGCGATCACAAGCCAAGCCCCTCACCATTCTGGCAAATTGTCCGATGACGCTGGATGCAATTACCAGCGAAACGTCGTACTACTCAAAAATTTTAAATGTTGTGGTTTCACTCTTCAACACACCGGTGGGCTAAAGCAGTGAACTATTTGTCTTTTGTCAACGTGACACTTTTTTGCTGATTGGCCGTGTCGGGTGGTGGAGGGTTACTACACATTAATAAATAACGCGATGGAACCCAAAAACGTTTATTATGAATAATATTGGTCGCAAAAGCCTACGTGTTCAACGGGATCACAAGAGTTGGAGACTGTGCTTGTTTACACCATGGAACCTGATGGCAATGACATTTTTCAAAATATGTTCTGGTGAAGGACCATTTGCTGAACCTTCGCTCATGATTTTTTTCCTTTCAAGGCCATGCTCAGTATTGTTATTGACGCATGTGTTGAGTGTTTGTTCCTGTTGTTAATTGTGCTTTGTGCACCCACCGCTAATGCATTGCCAAATCATTCAGTGGGGGTGGGGAGGGGGGTAATGTACAGGCCGGATATTCATTTTTGTTCCACGCTCCTGCGTGTTGCTTGAAACTTTTGGCCCGGTCTTTGTGCTCGCTGCTAGTGATGCTGGCGGGCGGCTTGGTGGGCGGGTGGGTGGGTGGTTAGGCGGGGCAGGGCAGGGCTTGACTCACCGTTGTCTGGAACCGCACCACGCCACTGTCTGCGTTTGCTGTGCCAAGCATCAGGTTTTTTTTTCACCCAGCCCGCAGCATGACCGCGTCAGCTGGCGTCACTGCCCAGCCAGCACTGATCGATCGGGCGGCAGGCGAGATGTCCATACATGGGCGTAGGCGAGGCTCGCTCCGCCGTGGTGCGTGGGGGGTGAGAGGAGGCTTGCCTTGCTCGCGCGCTGCGCAGCACGTTCTTTTATTCCCAAGCGATTATGTCATTTTGTCCCATTTTTGTCGCCCGTCGTACCGGTCGGCGTCGCGTCTCGAGACGGAGCGTTCGTGGCGCAAGCCCTTCGTGTTGGAAAACGGCTCGCGGAAGCGGATATCACGGAGCTTTGGTCTCCCGTGTCTGCCTTGTCTGGCATCAGAGCATGCACGCCTCCGTGTCCCCGTGTCCCCGTGTCTCCGTGTCCAAGTGTCTCCGTGTCTCATCCTCTGTCTTTCTAATCCAGGGCAAAAATGGTTCAGTACGTTCCACGGTTCAGCATAGCTCCCATATCCCCTGTGTGCCAAGTGTCTCAGTTTCTCAGGTGTCCCGTTTTCCCGTGCCTCCGTGTCCCCACGTGTCTCCTTGTCCCCCATGTCTTGGGCGTTTCCCTTGTCCAAAGTGCGACCGCGGTTCGGCAGAGCCCATCGCAAGTCGATACCTGGCTGACGAGCGGAGGTCGTGGTGGGGTCATTGGTGAGAAAATTATTCGTTCGAGTTGACGAGGCCCATTGGGTCCATCACCAAAGCGATGTTGACGAGAAGCCGTGGGGTGGAAACTGAGACCGCAGTGGGGTGGTCGTGATGCACGTTGACCCATGTTGTGAGTTTGGGAAGGTCGTGGCGGAAGTAGGTGGAACATGGTTGTGGGGGTGGTATGTGTGTTCGTGTGGTTGTAGCTAGTGTAGCGGTCAGCATGTTGCATCGCGAACCCCGGCTACCCGGGTTCAAATCCCACTCACGGTCGACACCAGTGTCGATTACCTGAACCGGTCCTGGGCACCCCCTATGTTGTGTACGTAGCCAACCGTGCTAATCGGGTGAACTCAGCCTCCAATTAGTACCTGGTGCAGTGTGTAAAGATCACTACTGGGGAGACAAAGGCGGTCGGGCGTGGTGCTGGGCACACACTTCCTCGCGTGCCGTGCCGGCCTTCATAGGTGCTCGCTAACAGCACTTGCCCCAACAGTGTTACATGCTTTCCAGGGCATCTTTGTCTTTGTTTGGTTGTAAGTATCCGTGGGGACTGGTGGCGATGCAGTGGCTAGCACCCTGCCGAATGATATCAGAACGATTCCTGGGTCCTCTCCTAGGTTGACTCGGCCTTAAACGAATACCCGGTGCGGTTTGTATAAACATCAGAACTGGGGGGTGGGGACAAAAGTTCCAGGGCGTGGTGCTGTCCACACCGCTGCCTCGTGCGCCGTGCCGGTCTTAATAGGTGCTCACTAACAGCACCTTTCCCCAACAGCGTGCGTGTTAAAGGCTGCACGGGGGGGGAGATCTTATTCTTTGTAGGGGTGTGTGCGGATGAGCTGGCATGTCAGTTGTTATTACAGTCATGTTTGCACTCTGCTACGACCCTATGTCCCACCTTCCTCTCTCCCGCATTCCGCTACCCACTCATCCTGCCGCCCCCAATTCTCAAAACCCCAATATAATGTGTCACCTTTGTAAAGCATTTTGAGTTGCGCTTGCATTCAGACAAAAATGATCACGTGTCGGCAACATCATTATTATTGAGGGCCAAATAGGACATTGGTGTTCATTCGGTGAGCTATAAGTGACTGGTCGCCAGGCTGAAAATATATCCCCCTCGAATCAGAATCTTCATTTCTACTGGAGAAATCCTGTGGGCTCTTCTTCACAGGTGTCCAGTAGGAGTGCGTCCGAGCGTTACAACAACAAACAATACAAAAACACAATAGGAGTGCAAAGTATAAGAAAGGTAAATAAATCACTTAAAAAAATGTATTTTACCAGGTAAGGCCCACTGAACTCTTAGCTTCCTTTTCAGAATTCACCTGGCCACAAATGATAGCTCAACAATGTGGCTCATCACGTGAACGAAGTGGCTTATCACGTGAAAAAACAAACGAGAAAGACACTCCTCATACCCGACTCGTGCTGCTCGTAGTGATGCATAGTTGCGGTTTGCGGGACGTATATCGAAGTCGGCTGCCTCGTGTGGCCGAGGGCCGCATGAAGTCGCGGGCACGATGTTCCCAACCTCCGCCGCCACACCTTCACTGACGGTCGCTCGCTGGCCGCGTTCGCCGGGCTGACAGGACGTCGGGGCTGTGCGTGTGTTGTTGTTGTTGGTGCAGATGGAGGTGCGATTGCTGCTGAGGACGGCGCTGGCTGTCACGCTGCTCGCCAGCCTCTCCCTCGCTCAGCAAGGTGAGGAGGGAGGCCACGGCGGGGATTCAGAATGGCCTTGGTGGAGACGCCGCCCAGGTCCTGGGTACCAACTCGGGTTTCGTTCGCTCGCGGTCATCAGAATATTGACTTATACCGGAGGAATCTGATGAGTTATAAAGCTCTTGTTCCGCAGAGGCCGGGTTCCCAAGTGCGTCGAGTTGCTGGTTCGGTCACCAATGACTGCACACACACAAAGACGGTGGTCACCGCATCGCACAATTTCAGATGTGCTTCTGCGGCCGTCTGGAACGCTCTTCCTTCGGATATTTGAAATCCACTCTTTAAATCATCTAGATTGAAAAGCCATTTCTTCAGAACTGCTTTCTGTGTTTAGTTTGTTGCCCTTCCCCCGCACCTCTGATTAGCACGGTTGGCTACGTACGGTGAGAAGGAAGTTGAACACACGTACATTCGAGTGCCGCGATGAGGGATCTTGAAGACGGCGAGGAGAGACGGAGACACGCTATAACCATGCCCTGTTCCCACTACCCCCACAATCTCTCCTCTCCCCCCCCAACCCCTCTCTACCGCCCCCCCCATCCGGCCCCAAAACCCCTGTCCCCCCGCAACTCCGCGTGTGCAGAATCCCACAACGAGTGTCTGTCGCGTAACGCCAAGTCGTGCGGGGAGTGCATCCAGGTCGGCAGCCGCTGCGCCTGGTGCACGATGTCCGTGAGTCGCGCGACGCTTGACACAACCGCAGGGCCGCGGGGCCGCGGGGCCGCAGGGCTGATTGTGAATAACCTAACCTCCCAATTCCAGCAGCGACGAGCTCTTTTATGTAGTGGCGTCATTCACGCAGGCTGCATCCGCAGCACACGGAGGGGCGCAAACAAAACGATGTTTCCAGTCAACTAGCGATGGGCGTTCATCCCGCCTGGGAGGCGAGCGGAGCACCCAGAGAAAACCCTTGCATGCGAGGGGGGTGTGGGTTGGTGGGGGGCAACGCTGTATCTCCGATCGTCGCATAGACGAGACGAATTATATTAGTCCTCAGATTGCTGTCCCGCCTTCCCCTGGCGATCCAGAATATGGATCGACCTGGACCCCCACAGGAAGGGAGTTCTTAGATATTTGCGAGGTCGTCCACCAACCCTCGCTGCCTCCACAGTGCTGGGCCACAGGCCACGTGCATCGCCACCACCGCCCGGCCGCATATTGTTAACTCTGCTCAACATCCGGGCCGGCACGACGCAGCACACCGAGCAGGCCGCTGAGCCGTTGGTGCGTGTGCCGCTGAGCGTTGGCCTCTGGGACTGGGTGGAGCTGACCACGGGAACTCCGGTCTTGACCCTTAATATTCCAAACATTTTTTGACTTTCCCGTGCTGGCGTAGAAGCATTGCCATGCTGCCTTCTCCTTGCAAGCCCAAGCCTAGGGCACCTGGCAAGCTCTGTGGGTCCTGGTGTTCGCCCATCCAAGTGGAAACTGGACTCAATTCTTTCGTAGCTTCCGAGATGTACCGAGATCGGGCAGATTTAAGCGTGGTTTTTTTCCTAGCCAAAAGTGTTACTTTCGAACATGAGTCAATCAATCTTGTGAATGAGAACAATTTCATTTACATTATTAGGTGTAGCCCTGTGAGCCATTCGGTTCTTGAATCGGGTGCAACCGCAACAAACAAAAAACAAAAACATGAACAAGAAAACATATGAAAGTGACTATGTAACTATGTGCAAACAGAAAATCCAGGAAAAAACAGCTAAAAATCTTCCAGATAAAGCACCGTACACCAACGCTGTGTGCAAAAATCCCAGTGGGATGCAAGTCAAACAACAACAACAACCACAAGACAACTTAGATTAAAGCCATCAGTCTAACTCCGTACTACAACAAACAAACATGGCCAAACCAAAAAACTTTCGAAATCTGACCTACCACAAAGAGAGAGAGAGGGGTCTACAAAGAGGAAGGCGACATTGTGGGGGTTAGAGGGGCTGGCTGGCGGTGGAAACTAGGCCCCATTAATTCCCAGAACCGGTGGTGGAAGGTGAGGAGGGGTGGGGGGTGCGGGGGGCGCTGCCGCGTCGCCCCAGCTGATCGTCCGCTCCCGTCTCCGTGTCCCGTCTGTCCCTCCCCGCTCGCTCGCCCGCAGAACTTCACGGGCGTCGGGGAGTCGAACTCGGCACGCTGCGATTACGCGGAGAACCTAAAGGAGCGCAAGTGCGACGAGCGGCACGTGGAGAGCCCCAGGGGCCAGGTGCGCGTGCTGCGCAACACGCCCGTCAGCGACCAGGGCACGAAGCTGCCGCCCGAGAACATCACCCAGCTCGCGCCGCAGCACGTCCGGCTCACGCTCCGAGCAGGTGCCGGACTACGCGGGGGTCGGGAGATCTTTGTCGCGGGCGAGCGGGCGAGGGGCGAGTTCGCGAGTTGGCGAGGGGCGAGTTGGCGAGGTAGCCCGTCGACAGGGAGCGGCGCGCGCCGCCTCCAGCACCTGGCAGAATCGCGGGCGTCCTCGGTGACGGTGCCAGAGTTGGGCACGATCCGTAAATGAAATGCCGGGTGCCACAGCGCCGCCGACGGGCACGTTGCGACGTGCGTGGAGGCGGGGCAGAGCCGTTGGAGTTTTCTTTGCTTGGAGAAATTCACGTCGTATCGTAGAACCCCTTGCGAGGTGCAGTGCTTAACGGATTTGTGTCTTTTTTTCTAACCTCGCGGATGAATGCGATTCGACAAGACAAACAGGTCCCCAACGGCAGAGTGTGTTTATGCGCGTACACACACGTGCCGATGCAATGACAAAGATCTTCCATGTAGCCTCCAACAGGCTGTTGGAACAAGTGCTTGTGTGCGAGTATTTTATAAAGGCCAGAACGGTGCATGGAAGGGGGAGGTTGTGCGGCCAGCACCACGCCTGACCACCTTTGTCTCCCCATTGCTGATGTGTTTTACGCATCGTGCCAGATACTCATTTAAGGCTGAATTGATCTAGGGCAGGCTGTGGACAGATTCAGATATTAGCTGTCAATCCTATTGGTTGTGAGCGGGAAAATCAAAACTCGAGTCGCTGGGTTTGTAGCACGGTGCGTTAACCACTGTGCCACAGCTCTCCATATACCGTACATACAACACATGCACATAACATCACAACCACGGCGCTTGTGCCATGCTAGGGGCACATGCACATTTCCCAACACACACATGCACGCTCTCACAAATACAAAGAAATGTACACACGTGTATCATACAACAACCATGCACACAGACGCATGCACACACACATCAGGAACACTTGCGCAATTGCATATATAAATGCATACACATGCGCAGACATGCAAAGAAATGTATTAGACACACGCACGTGCATGCACACATGCATTTACATGCACAAATGCAAGCGCACAAATGCATATGAAGATAAAGGCACGCATACTGTATACACACACACACTGTATATATACACACACACACGTGTGCACGCCCACGCATTCATACCAGCACACGCACACTATGCAGGCACGTGCATTACAAAACCACACATTCATTCAAATACAAAGACAGAGACCCCCTTAAAACCTTAACAGCCAGTTGGGGCTTGTGCTGTTAGCGAGCACCTATGAAGCCTGGCACGATACACAAGGGGGTGGGTGGCCAGCACCAGGCTCTGCTGCCTTTGTCTCCCCAATGATGTTGACGCACCGCACCAGGTACTCATTTGAGGCTTTTTCGAAACTAGGGGAGGCCCAGGATCGGTTCAGATAATCGTCACCGATGTCGGCCATAAGCGGGAATCAAACTCGGGAAGCGGAATTCGTAGCGCAGTGCGCTAACTACGCAGCACTACGCTAAGACAAAGACACACACAAATGCACGCCCACACATACATACCAGCACCACACACACACCCATTTATTCACACACACACACAAACCACACACACACACACAAACCACACACACACACACACGCAAACCACACACACACACTCGAGCTCACAGGCAAGCACTTGCCTTTCCAGCCAGATCGGAATCTGTCGTTGCTTCATAGCATTTGGCGGAAACTGTGCGCCCTGCCGCTTGATGTGATGCATTTATCGTGTTGAAAAGACTCCGGCTCGTGCTGGATGGATGACACCACAAAGGTGTCGTCTTCCACCCTCAAGCCAGAGAGTATCTCCCCCCTCGGTGGTCCTTAAGCCAGTGCAGGAAATTCCACGTTGCTGTGGCGGTGTCCGAACGTGCGATCCTATTTAGACTCCGTAAACAATGATCAAACAAATCCAAATTGTTTCGAATCTTCCTCCAGGCCAAAGAGCCACGAGATGGTCTCTATCCACGCGTTTCTATCGTGCGCCTCTCCTCTGGTCACTTCCACCAACTTTTAACAGTGTTTACTCTCAAACGATGTTTACTCTGAACTCTCGACCAAGGCTGAGATGAGAGATAAGCTGGCCAGCAGACTGCGGCCTGCTTGCGGCTGCACGCCTCTCTCTCTCTCCAGACGACGGCGACAATCAATACCGTCGTCACCTCCTCGCCGCGTCGCGCCGCTCACTCCGCGTTGGCCCAGCGGCCCGACCGCACGCGACTGTGCAGAACACTCCGTTACCTCGAATTGTCTTGAGTCCAGTCCATCACGAATACTCGCTGATGTCACACACGCACACAGTGCAAGCTCTGTGGAGCGACACTTTTGCTAAGTGTGTTGTAAAACCGTGGGGGTGTCACCGTGGGGGTGTCACCGTGGGGGGGTCACCGTGGGGGGGTCACCGTGGGGGGCACACCGTGGGGGGCTCGTCCATGTACATTTCCTGTCGGCGAGGAAGCGTCGTCGCCTGTACCGACGCGAGCTTCCTGCTGCCCCCCCACCGCATTCGTCGTGTCGTGTTTGTGCGCTCGTCCACTCAAAGTAGCGGAGGCTAAACAACAACAACAACAGAGTTAAAGGTGCAGCCCTACAATTTCTCGCTAGTTCCACTGTTGGCTGAAGCTGCTCGACTAGAGCGCCACCTCTCGGGGGTGTGTGTTTCTGCCTACTCTTTCATGCTGGACAGGCGTATTCGAGTGGGTGGGCAGTAGCCCACACTTTCAAACGCATCAATACACAACATTTACGATCACCGTATTCACTAGTGGTTTAAATTGGGCGGGGGGGGACATGGGGCACCATTTCAAAAGAGTCAAAAACTTGAGAACCACGCGGTCTTGAGACGTGTTTGGCGGGAGCGTGGCGAGCGTCTCTTCCCGCTTCGCCATCGTTTGCATCTCTCTCCCAACCCGTTGGACGGCCGCAGGCCAGCCGCAGAAATTCAACCTGACGTTCAAGAGGGCGGCCGACTACCCGGTGGACCTCTACTACCTGATGGACCTCTCCTACTCCATGAACGACGACTTGGAGAACGTCAAGAAGCTGGGCACGGAGCTGCAGCAGCGCATGAAGGAGATCACGAGCGAGTTCCGCATCGGTGAGCCTCGCACGCCCCTCCTCCTCTCCCGTCCCCCCTCCCCCCTTCCCCCCTCCCCCCTTCTCCCCTTCTCCCTCTCCGCTGCCCGTCGTCCCGATGATGAAGGTTAATTCATGAAATTGTAACAACAATGCTGGCGTTTATTGTGTGCCAGTAACTGGACCAAATGCCTCGGAGCTCTGGTTTTTAGCCTTGGGAACCCCTCCTTGCCCCAGCAGTTGCAGCAGCGTGTAACTACGAGACGGCGGTCCGGAATAAATGACGTCATGAAGCAGCGGCCCTTACAGAGCCGCAAGCTGTTCCGGAGCCGCAGGTTGCGGACCCCACCGTCGGCTCTAGGTACAAATTTACGAGACGGCCTTCTCCTGGCGAGCCAGGGCATGGCACCTCCTCGAAGACGATCGCGCGGTGGTCCGCCAACCCTCGCTGCTGCCCCCACGCAGCGCCGGCTTCGCAGGCGCGGTGCGTAGCCCCCACCGCCCGGCTAACACACAAACAAGTACAAACGCTCATTGGTTGACCAAAACATACGTAGAGGACCGCGGAGCTTGGAGATCAACCGTTGGCGCCTGGCTCGCCGCCTGGCTCGTTCCCCACACTCGTTCTCCGCGCCTCCTCGAGTCTCTCTCCCTCTCGCCCATCGGAGAACGAGCGAGCGAAGGCTGCGCGGCCTCACGAACGTGAACGTCGTCCGTCTTCGTCATCGTTGTCGCCGTCGTCGTCGAAGCAAAGAAAGCGCTTGACGTGGATGTGGCGGCGTCGGTCCGCGTGTCCCCCCCCCCCCGGCAGGCTTCGGCTCGTTCGTGGACAAGACGGTGATGCCGTACATCAGCACGACGCCCAAGAAGATGCGCAACCCGTGCAGCACGGGCCCCGACGAAGTGTGCACCGAACCGTTCAGCTACCGCAACGTGCTGCCGCTCACCAACAACGGCAGCCAGTTCAACGAGCTCGTGAGCCAGCAGAAGATCTCGGGCAACCTTGACTCGCCCGAGGGCGGCTTCGACGCCATGATGCAGGCCGCCGTCTGCGTGGTGAGTGGCGGCGTCGGCGGCGATGTGGGTGGTGGTAGTAGTGGTGACGTGGGTGGTGGTGGTGGTGACGTGGGTGGTGGTGGTGGTGGTGACGTGGGTGGTGGTGGTGGTGGTGGTGACGTGGGTGGTGATAGTGGTAGTGATGGAGGTGTTGGTGATAGTGATGGAGTTGGTGATAGTGATGGAGGTGGTGATAGTGATGGAGGTAGTGGTGGTGGTGAATATTGTTGGAGGTAGTGGTGGTGGTGAATAATGGTGGACGATGCGGGGGTGGTGTCTGTCATTGAACCCATAGCACTGGACACTTCACGTGTCCTCAAAGTGCACCTCGCCCGGCACAAAGCGGTGACGTCATCGTCCTTTGTTGGCGGCTGTTGTTTGTGCATGCAATTGTTGTTGGCGTATAGTTGTTGTGTGCGTGCGCGGTCGTCCGCTGCTGTGCGTGACGCTCGTGCTGGCTCCTTCCAGAACGAGATCAAGTGGCGGAACGTGACGCGACTGCTCGTCTTCTCCACGGACGCCGGCTTCCACTTTGCGGGCGACGGGAAGCTGGGGGGCATCGTTCTGCCCAACGACGGGAACTGCCATCTGGACCCGCAGGGCGTCTACTACACCAAGAGCAACTACTACGTGCGTGCCCCCCCCCCGCCCCCCATCACCCGCCCCTACCGTGTGTGCGTTTGTCTGTGTGTGTGTGTGGAGAGCGATAGTGGAGCGGTTAGCGTGCTGTGCTATGAACTCCGGTTCGATTCTCGCTCACGGCCAACACCGGTGATGATTATCTGAACCGGTCCTGGGCTTCCCCTAGGTCGACTTGGCCTCAAATGAGTACCTGGTGCGGTGTGTAAACATCGCCACTGGGGAGACAAAGGTGGTCGGGCGTGGTGCTGGACACCCACCCCCTCGCGTGCCGTGCCGGCCTTCATAGGTGCGCCTTAACAGTACTTGCCCCAACAATCTGTTTAGGTTATACGAGGGATCTTTGTCTCTATGCCACTAGGTAGTTGGCACAGTAGGGGGCAAAGGTGGTGCATTGGGCCAGTCATCTCAGGCAGTTAACCCATGGCACCTAGGTCTGTCCCGTCACCTCCTGTCAGCGGGCGTTCGACACCTCACCTGGCATTAAAGTGCACCTAGCCTGGCACAAGTGCCGTGGGGACGTCAACGCCACTAAGTGGCGATGGCGGTTACTGTTGTTGTTGCCACCTGGAAGTGAAGCGGGGAGCGGGAGTGTCGCTGCGAACTCGGCGAACCGAGTTCGATTCCCGCTCACGGCCAACATCGGTGACGGTTAATTACCTGACCGGGTCCTGGGGCTTCCCCATGGTCGACTCAGCCTCAAATGCGTACCCGCGTCCCATTGAGTCCTCTTCTTGGCTAAGCAAGCGTAACATAAGTGACTCGAATAACGCAAAAATGTCTGCCCTGTCGGTGCGGGCGGCGCGTGGGGCCTGCAGGACTACCCGTCGGTGGCGCACCTCATCCAGAAGCTCAGCGAGAACAACATCCAGCCCATCTTCGCAGTCACCAAAGACTTCTACAGCGTCTACCAGGTACGGTCTTCATCGTACCTGGACGTCAAGTACAAGTGACAATAAGCAGGTGGAGCGTTTGAGATATTGAGGTCGCGTGATCACAGTCGATGGATGAAGGTGTCACAGAGGCGAACAGAGGAACAACACTGGCAAAAGATGTATTTCAGACAATGGGATCTGTATTGCAAAACAAAGAATTATATTTGACAGCCAGAATTGCAGTGTTACATAGGCCGGTGTGTTCTCCTTTGTGGATTTGAAAGCTGTGAGTCTGTGGGTCTGCGTATGGATATGGGCCTCTAAGTCAGTCTGTGGGTCTTTATGTGAGTCTGTAGGTCTCTATGTGAGTCTAGGTCTCTACGTGAGTCTTTGGGCCTCTATGTGAGTCTATGGATCTTTATGTGAGTGGTTCTCTTTATGTGAGTCTATGGGTCTTTATGTGAGTCTGTAGGTCTCTACGTGAGTCTTTGGGCCTCTATGTGAGTCTATGGTTCTTTATGTGAGTCTGGTTCTCTATGTGAGTGGTTCTCTATATGTGAGTCTATGGGGTTTGTCTTTCTATGAGCCTCTGTGAAAGCTGGACAATTACAAGACCCTTAGCGCAAAGTAGAAGCAACAAACATGTGGCTTTTATAGATGTGAAACATTTAATGGACAGATAAATAAAAAACTTAAACATATAAATAGCGGCAGTATATACAACAAGAACATTAATGAGAATAATTAGAGAAAGGCAAAGTTAAATGTATTGGACATGCACTCATAAAACAAAAGGCTGAATGTGAATGTGTTGTTAACTGCGTGGACATTATATGTACCACAAGAAGCCGGGGAGAAATTAGTTACAGAAGTAATTTGAACAATTGGCAGCAACTGGGAGGAGAGTACCCATTGCAGAGTCCTTGAGTAAATATCATGGATGGAGCAAAGTGGAAGAAAGGTCACGATCGCCAACATCTCTGGAAGAAGACGTGGCACGGAGATCATATCATAGCCTAGTCGACAGCAACCCGCGGAGTTTACAACGATATGGTCACGCTGCTGCTGCTTTGACAGTCACAATTAGCAACAACACTCAACACGCTGGTCCATAACACCGTGCGGCTTGAGCAAATGTTAAATACACAATCGGTGACGTTTCGGGCAACGGCCCTACTTTAGAGCACACAGATAAAGGCCGGTCGAGCGATGGAGTTGGATGATGAGAGTTGGGAGACTGCACCAGCTTACGCCATGGGGCCTGATGGGAATTACATTTGGTAAAAAATGACATCCCTGTCGTCGTCGTTGTTGTTGCGGTTCATTCTCACCTCGTTACGATTGTGCACTCAGGAGCTGAGCAACCTCATCCCAAAGTCGGCTGTGGGGGAGCTCTCCAACACGTCATCCAACATCATCCAGCTCATCATCGAGGCCTACAAGGTAAATCGTGGCGGGTGGTGAACTGTGCAACGCGAGGTGGAGCGGCGGTGCGGTGGTTATCGGACCGCGCTACGAACCTGTTGACCCGGCTTCGATTCCCGCGCTTGGCCATCGGCATCGGTGATGAAAATCTGAGCCGATCTTGAGCTTTCGCTCGGTCGACTTGGTCTTAAATGAGTACCTGGTGCGCTGTGTATAGAACATCAGCACCGGGGAGACAAAGGCGGCCAGGCTCGGTGGTGACCGCCCACCCCCGTCGTGTGCCTTGCCGGCCTTCACAGGTGCCGCTCGCCCGACAGCATTTGCCCCTACAGTCTGTTGAAGGCTATCTGGGGGGGATGGGTGTGGTCCTTTGTCTTTGTGCAGGCGCTCTCCTCGGAGGTGATCCTGGAGCACACGAAGCCGCCGGGCGGCGTCTCCGTGAGCTACACGAGCCACTGCAAGGACGGCAGCGTGCAGACGGGGGATGACGGCAACAAGTGCTCCAACATCCAGATCGGGGACGAGGTGAGTGGTTCCGCCACCACCGCCACCATCATCACCATCACAGCCATCGCCGCCGCCATCACCACCACCACCATCATCACCATCACAGCCATCGCCGCCAACACCGCCACCACCATCATCACCATCACACCCACCACCACTGCCGTCGCCTCGTTCATTATTGGAATGAAAATCATGGTGATCGGTGCCGAGCCGGCACCGTTGGGAATCCTGAGTTCGAATGTAAGATTCATGCGCCCGTGAGTAAGCAGGGGGTTCCAAAGTGCAGCTAGTTGATGGTCTAAAGCCACGGTCACCAATGACCGCACACACGCACACACACGAACAAATAAATTGAACACCATCGCGTGTGTGGTTCTGCGCTTGGTTTGGCTGAATCGCGGTGTTTGCCGCTTGTTGGCGGAGGGTTCGAGCCCAGCGGCCGCCCTGGTTAACACTGCGGCACGTATTGAACATGAACTACTCCTGCTACTACGCGCTGTATGTTTCCCAGTGGCCGTTAAAGGCCACGCGACGTTACGGCGTCACGGTCTGAATTTGCCTAATGGCCAAATGTAAGCGATTACCTCTGTGCATTGCTCAAGTGTTTAAAATGCGCAGCAGCAGCAGCAGCAGCATCGCCCCCTACCGTGAAACTACTGCACACCGTGTCTGTGGGTTCACCACAGCTCCTCCCCCTTGCACTGCTCTGAAGACTGGGCCAGTACCAAATGCACTTGTGAGTTGATTCCTCGACATATCTGCGGGGAAGGACAGCAAACTAAACAACAAACTAAACAACAACAGACAGTTGTAAAGAAATGAGTCTAGAAATGAGTCTCGATTGAAAACGGCTTCGTGTGTTTAGTTTGTTGTCCTTTCCCTGCACCTCCGATTTGCTCGGTTGGCTACGTACGGTGCGAAAGACGTTCAACGCACACACGTATCTACCACCACGACCGCCCCCCCCACCTCCCCCCCCCACTTCCCCAGGTGACGTTCAGCATCGAGGTGGCGGCCACGGGCTGCCCTAACGATGGGAAGGAGACGCAGATCCAGCTGCGCTCGCTGGGCTTCAACGAGAAGGTGTTGGTGTCGCTGCGCTTCGTGTGCGAGTGCGAGTGCCACTCCACCGGCATCGCCAACAGCGCCGACTGCAACCACGGCAACGGCACGCTGGAGTGTGGCGCCTGCAGGTAAGGTGGTGGGGGGCGGGCGGGGAGGTGGGGGGGCGGGCGGGGAGGTGGTGAGGAGGTGGTGGTGGGGAGTTGGGGGGTGGGCGGGGGGGTGTGGCGGGTGGACGGAAAGGTGGAGGGGAGGGAGTGTGCACGCAGATTATTTTACAAGTTGATCCACAATACAATGACAAATCACGTGACAGGAACGTCACACATGAAGAGGGGGGTGACTGTTGTAGCGGTGTGTAGACGAGACGAGGATATACGATGTCACATGAGATCGCGATTGAAGTTATCATAAAGAATCGACAGCTTTAACAGGAAATTGTGATTTAGAAGGGAGGGTAATGAAGGACATTTGTGAAGTCATCATGTTCATCGTTAACAGCATCGGCGGTATCACCTCGATCATCTATTGCAACCTGCGTCTCCGGCGGCTCTTTAAGGACTGCTGCTTCGTGACGTCAGTTAGTGACGACCACCGTCTCGTGTTCACCACCACAGTGCATTGTGGCTCTTGAAATATTGAGATTTTTTGTTACCGAATTCGAAAAAAATTCCCTTTTTTTATTTTAGTTGCCGACCCCTGTGCTGTTCTTTCACACAATAATACAGGTTTTTTTTTTGGGTTACATCGCGTAAATATATAAATGTGTCGCTAAGCCCGCCATCAGCCGACACAGCCAATTGGTAAAGGTTTGTCACGTAAACAGAACGTGGCCAATTCGTTACTGGTACAGCACACCGGTTGTGTGTTGGAGAGCCAAGCCACAACATTTACATTCTGAGTACGACATTTCACCAGTAATTACAACTAGCTTCATCAGGCGACAGCCAGATGAAGCTTGATTTGAAAGAAGCTAGTTCTTTCACACTGTACGTAGCTAACCGTGCTAATCCTCCCCACCGTCTCCCTCCCTCTCCTCCCTCTCCTCCCTCACCTCCCTCCCCTCCTTCCCTCCCTCTCCTCCCTCTCCTCCTTCCCTCCCTCTCTTCCCTCCCTTCCTCCCTCTCCTCCCTCTCCTCCCTCCCACAGGTGCAACGAGGGCCGCATCGGGCGTCTGTGCGAGTGCAGCACGGACGAGGTGAACTCGGAGGACATCTGGGCGTCGTGCAAGCGCGACAACTCGTCGGCGGTGGTGTGCAGCGGGCGCGGCGACTGCGTGTGCGGCGAGTGCGTGTGCAACAAACGCGACAACGCCAACGAGCTGGTGTCCGGCCCGCTCTGCGAGTGCGACAACTTCTCCTGCGACCGCTCCGGCGGCGTCATGTGCGGAGGTGCGGCTCCGGAGACAGAGAGAGAGAGACAGAGAGAGAGACAGAGAGAGAGAGACAGAGAGAGAGAGACAGAGAGAGAGACAGACAGAGAGAGAGCCAGAGAGAGAGCCAGAGAGAGAGACAGAGAGAGGGACAGAGAGAGAGAGACAGAGAGACAGACAGAGAGAGAGACAGAGAGACAGACAGACAGAGAGAGAGACAGAGAGACAGGCAGACAGAGAGAGAGAGACAGAGAGACAGACAGACAGAGAGAGAGACAGAGAGACAGAGAGACAGACAGAGAGAGAGACAGAGAGACAGACAGACAGAGAGAGAGACAGAGAGACAGGCAGACAGAGAGAGAGAGACAGAGAGACAGACAGACAGAGAGAGAGACAGAGAGACAGAGAGACAGACAGAGAGAGACAGACAGAGAGAGAGACAGACAGAGAGAGACAGAGAGAGAGAGACAGACAGACAGAGAGAGACAGACAGAGAGAGACAGACAGAGAGAGAGACAGAGAGAGGTGTTGCTGAGCGGCAGAGCTGAGTTGGGTACTGGGGTGGGTGGTTGAGTGGGTAGGTGACTTGTTGAGTGGGGAGGTGGGTGGTTGAGTGGGTGGGTGGTTGAGTGGGGAGGTGGGTGGTTGAGTGGGTGGGTGGTTGAGTGGGTGGGTGGTTTGTTGGTTGAGTGGGTGTGTGGGCAGGCGGGCTGACTGGTGGGTGGGCGAGAGTGGGTACGAGTGGAAACTTCTTCTGCGGTTGCTTCGGTGGCGTCACGTGGGGAGGCAGGGAGCACGAGGAGAGACCGAGGGAGGGAGCAGCTGCCAATAGGGGACACTCTTGAGACATCTTGTTAAGCGACAGTTATTTTAGTGATTCCAAGTTCATTTACTCATTGACCTCTCGGCCCCCCCCCCGCCCCAGGGCACGGCAAGTGCGAGTGCGGCAAGTGCGTGTGTGAGAGCAACTTCACGGGCAACGCGTGCGACTGCCCGACCAGCAAGAAGGCGTGCCAGGCGAGCAACGGGCAGGAGTGCAACGGGCGCGGGCAGTGCGTGTGCGGGGATTGCAAGTGCAACGACAGCAAGTACCAGGGCGCCACCTGCGAGGTCTGCCCCACCTGCCCCGGCGCCTGCGACGAGCACAAGTGAGTGGCGGCGCACGCACGTGGGGGGGGGGGGGGTGAAGGGGCTGGCGCAGCGGTGCGAGTTGGCGCAGTAGGGGGGGGCGGTGCATCGGCCAGTCGTCTCGGTCGGTCAACCCTTTGCACCCGGGTCCGTCCCGTGACCTCCTGCCAGCAGCGAGCCTTGCGACACTTCACGTGGCCTCAACGTGCACCTGGCCTGGCACATGCGCTGTGGTGACATCACCGTCACTTAGTGGCGAATGGCGGGTGTTGGTATATTGGTGTGAGCGGCAGCGCTGCAAGCCCAGGGACCCGAGTTCGATTATCGCTCACGGCCAACACCGGCGACGATGATCTGAACCGGTCCTGGGCCTCCCCTAGGTCGATTCGGCCTCCAACGAGTACCTCGTGCGGTGCGTATACATCGCCACTGGGGAGACAAAGGCGGCCGGGCGCGGTGCCGGCCGCCCTCTCCCCGGCCGTCCGTGACCTCCGCCGTCCACCGTCCGTGCGCCGCCCGTCGTCCCTAGGGACTGCGTGCAGTGCAAGGTGTTCAAGAAGGGGCCGAAGGCGGCGGTCTGCGAAGAGCGGTGCCGCACCCTGAACGTGGTGTCCATGGCTCAGCTGAAGCAGCCCGGGGAGCTGGACTCGCTGATGCACTGCAAGGCGAAGGACGAGGACGACTGCTGGTTCTTCTTCACGTTCACGCTCGACAAGCTTGGGAGTCCGCTCGTCGAGGTGCAGGAGAAGAGAGGTGCGGTGCTGGGGGTGGTGGGGGGGGTGCGGGGGGGGTGGCGTGATGTGGGGGGTTGGTGCTGTTGTTTTTTGGGGCAGAGGTAAAAGGCGCAGCCATGAAATTGCCGATTGCTTCCTCCGGGTTTGGCGGAATCTCAGCATGGGGCAGGTCGCCGACGCACTGCTGACTTTGTTGGGCTCGTAGGGATTAGTCCGGGACTATTAGGGAGCCGTCCCTCGCCGGCACGCGGGCGCCGGTGAGCCTCGCATTGCGTCTGTACGAGATGCAGCCCTGCAATTACTTGCTCCAGGTTCTAGAGCAGCAGCAGCAGTCTCCCAATTCAAAGTGAGCGGCTATTACCAGATCGTCCGAATATTTTAACGCCATTGACGAGCGGCAAGGGAGGGGCACCTGGACATCGATGTGCCTCCTCCTGTTGTATCTCTTAACTTTTAAAGATACATTTGCAGCCGTGCCAACAATGTCTTGCTGATGCCGCTTCTATTTGAAGAGCCTCCACTAGAGGGAGGTGTGGGCACGTAGTCCCGGCGTGGGTGGTGGTCACGCCACGTGCGCTGCGCCAGTCCTCGTCAGATAAGAATGTGTTGGTGGTTAGGGCACTGCAGTGGCTAGGAGATGTTAACTCCCTCGCTTGGTACGCAGGAGGTCATGGGTTCGATCCCAACTCTGACGCCTGCTGCTGTATATTTGGAGTTTGCGTGTCTCTCTCTCTCTCTCCACCTGGTCGCGTGGATTTTTCTGCAGGTCCTCCGGGTTTTCCCTCCACATTTAGAAACGTGTGTTTTAGATGGCTGTATTTGGCTTTTATACATTTTCACGTGATAAGCCATTTGTGGCCAGCTTGCTTCTGAAGAAGAGCTTCATTGCTCGGTGGGCCTTACCTGGTAAAAAATAATAATAAATCAGTTTTAGTGGAGGGGTTTGTGGCTTGTGTTCGGGATCGGTGTTCAAGGTCAGGTTTGGTAGCTGTGTGAACGCTTGGGGTTCAGGGTTGCATTTGGGAACTCGTGTTGAGCGTTATATTGAGGACCATTGTTAAGGGTTTTGTCAGAGACTGGTGTCTTTCATTATGCACCTACATTTAGCATTGGGCTAGGGGTCTGTGTTCATAATCAGGGGTCTGGACGAGGGGTGTGGATACCCTATTCATGGTTATGTGAGGATTAGGGTGCTTAGGGCTGCGTTCTCTGCTTGGGCTATGCTGGGAATTTTCTAGGGCCATCCTATGGCTATCTCAAGGCTATGTAAGAGCTATGCGCTGGGGCTATGTTCGGGCCATGCTGAAGCGATGCCATGCTGAAGCGATGCCATGCTGAAGCGATGCTAGGGTGAGGCGATGCTGGGGCTACACTGGGGCTACGTTTGGGCTTATTCCAGGGTTGTGTTGGGACCATGCGGGGGCTGTTCTGGGACTGTGCTGGGGCTATGTTAGGGCTACGCTAGGGTTAGGCCCGGGTGATGAACCCATGTCCGTCACTCGGGAGCAACACTCGGGGTGATGGAGCCGAGTGAAGGAACAGGAACACTCGCTCGTCACCGGGGCTCCCGCGTCGACGCTCGCTAATGACATGCCCGTCGACAGGCGATCCGGGCTAACAGGTGTCCGGTGCCTCCCCCCTCCCCCTCCCTGGGTGCCTGCCTGCGTGCGCCTGCGTGCGTGTGTGTCTGTGTGCGTGTGTGCGCCTGCGTGTGTGTATACGTGTGTCTGCGTGCGTGTGTTTCTGTGTCCGTGTGCCTGTCTGCGTGCGTGCGTGGGCAGAGTGCCCCACGGAGCCGAACATCTTGGCGATCATCGCGGGCGTGGTGGCGGGCATCGTGCTCATCGGCCTCGCACTGCTGCTAATCTGGAAGATGCTCATGACGATCCACGACCGGCGGGAGTTCGCCAAGTTCGAGAAGGAGAAGGCCAACGCCAAGTGGGACTCGGTGAGACGAGCGTCCGGCTGGCCCGGCTGGCACCTCCCCCAGCGCCAGCCCCCCACTCCGCGTCATCGTCACGGCCCCCCATTGCGGGGGTTTCGTGTCTTCTCCAGGGAAATACTTTGCACGATGTTGGCGGCGTTGTGCAAGGACAGTGGGTCACCGCGACGATGCGCTTCTGCGGCCGTCTGGAACGCTCTTCCTTCCAATATTCGGAAGCCACTGGGAGCTATGCACTTTTAAGTCATCATCTCGAGTGAAAACTAATTTATTTACAACTTCATTTTGTGTTTAGTTTGTTGTCCTTCCCCCCCACACCTGATTAGCACGGTTGGCTATGTGTGGTGCAAAATAAGTTAAACATACATCCACTCAACCACCCACACTGTCACCCACTAACTCAACCACCACACTGCATGTCCACTACAACACACTCATCCACCCACTCACTCACCCACCCACTCACCACACTGCATATCAATACAACACACTCATCCAACCACTCACTCACCCACCCATTCACCACGCTACAGGTCACTACAACACACTCACCCACCCACTCACTCACCCACCCACTCACCACACTGCAGGTCACTACAACACACTCACCCACCCACTCACTCACCCACCCACTCACCACGCTGCATGTCACTACAACACACTCACCCACCCACCCACCCACTCACCACGCTGCATGTCACTACAACACACTCACCCACCCACCCACTCACCCACCCACCCACTCACCACGCTGCATATCAATACAACACACTCACCCACCTACTCACTCACCCACCCACTCGCCACGCTGCATGTCACTACAACACACTCACCCACCCACTCACTCACCCACCCACTCACCACGCTGCATGTCACTACAACACACTCACCCACCCACCCACTCACCCACCCACCCACTCACCACGCTGCATGTCACTACAACACACTCACCCACCCACCCACTCACCCACCCACCCACTCACCACGCTGCATGTCACTACAACACACTCGCCCACCTACTCACCCACCCACCCACTCACCACGCTGCATGTCACTACAACACACTCACCCACCCACCCACTCACCCACCCACCCACTCACCACGCTGCATGTCACTACAACACACTCACCCACCCACCCACTCACCCACCCACCCACTCACCACGCTGCATGTCACTACAACACACTCACCCACCCACCCACTCACCCACCCACCCACTCACCACGCTGCATGTCACTACAACACACTCACCCACCCACCCACTCACCCACCCACCCACTCACCACGCTGCATGTCACTACAACACACTCACCCACCCACTCACCCACCCACCCACCCACTCATCACGCTGCATGTCACTACAACACACTCACCCACCCACTCACCCACCCACTCACCACACTGCATGTCACTACAACACACTCACCCACCCACCCACCCACTCGCCACGCTGCATGTCACTACAACACACTCACCCACCCACTCACCCACCCACTCACCACACTGCATGTCACTACAACACACTCACCCACTCACTCACCCACCCACTCACCACGCTGCATGTCACTACAACACACTCACCCACCCACTCACCCACTAACTAAACCACCACGCTGCATGTCACTACAACACACTCACCCACCCACTCACCCACCCACTCACCACGCTGCATGTCACTACAACACACTCACCCACCCACCCACCCACTCACCACACTGCATGTCACTACAACACATTCACCCACCCACTCACCCACCCACTCACCACACTGCATGTCACTACAACACACTCACCCACTCACTCACCCACCCACTCACCACGCTGCATGTCACTACAACACACTCACCCACCCACTCACCCACTAACTAAACCACCACGCTGCATGTCACTACAACACACTCACCCACCCACTCACTCACCCACCCCACTCACCACGCTGCATGTCACTACAACACACTCACCCACCCACCCACCCACTCACCACACTGCATGTCACTACAACACACTCACCCACCCACTCACCCACCCACCCACTCGCCACGCTGCATGTCACTACAACACACTCACCCACCCACTCACCCACCCACCCACCCACTCGCCACGCTGCATGTCACTACAACACACTCACCCACCCACTCACCCACCCACTCACCACACTGCATGTCACTACAACACACTCACCCACTCACTCACCCACCCACTCACCACGCTGCATGTCACTACAACACACTCACCCACCCACTCACCCACTAACTAAACCACCACGCTGCATGTCACTACAACACACTCACCCACCCACTCACCCACCCACTCACCACGCTGCATGTCACTACAACACACTCACCCACCCACCCACCCACTCACCACACTGCATGTCACTACAACACACTCACCCACCCACTCACCCACCCACTCACCACACTGCATGTCACTACAACACACTCACCCACTCACTCACCCACCCACTCACCACGCTGCATGTCACTACAACACACTCACCCACCCACTCACCCACTAACTAAACCACCACGCTGCATGTCACTACAACACACTCACCCACCCACTCACTCACCCACCCACTCACCACGCTGCATGTCACTACAACACACTCACTCACCCCCCACCCACTCACCACGCTGCATGTCACTACAACACACTCACCCACCCACTCACCCACCCACTCACCACACTGCATGTCACTACAACACACCCACCCACTCACTCACCCACCCACCCACTCACCACGCTGCAGGTCCCCTCACTTCTCTTTCTGCTTCTTCCCTCGCACTGCTGCACCCTGGAATTCCCATTTCCCATCACCGTCATCATCACCGCCTCTTTTCCCCCAAGAAATGCGTTACACTCTAACCTATTAACAACTTCGATAGTGCTGTCTGTTGCTGGCCACTCGGCGTTTTGCAAATTCGAGCTTGTGCTCAGCAGCTCTTTTGAATGAAGAAAAACTCCCCACCAAAGGTCGGGGCATGGATACAATGGAATGAGACGATCCGAACACAATTTTTCACATTGGATTGTGACCAAAAACATCGTCACATCCTCCTTGATGTCACTTTCCGTGTTGTGTCCCCAACAACAAAGAGTGGCGACGCTTGATGTCGCTTTGGTGAAACGTGTGCGTAACCTTCGCTTACATCATTAAATGTTTTAAATACGTTCATGGTGAAAGGTATTCCTATTATTTCACTGATGGAACTTCACGTAATTTTTTTTAAAAAAGCATCGGTTAATTATTGAAAGTGATTGCGTTTGTTACGCGCGCAGCTCGGTGATGTCAGGCGTTGGGCTGCCATGGTGGCTAGGAGATGTTATTTCCCTCGCCGGGTATGCAGGGAGTCATGGGTTCGATCCTGACGCTGACGCCTGCTGTTTATTTAGAGTTTGAAGGTTTTTCCTGCGGTCGCGTGGATTTTTCTCCGGGTCCTCCGTTTTCCCCCTCCACATTTAGAATCAACATCACCACGCGTTCAGATTATTTGGCTGCTATAAATGACCACGTGATGAGCCACTTCGTTGAGCTATCATTTGTGGCCAGGTCGCTTTTAAAAAAGAGCGATATAGCTCAGTGGGCCTCACCTGGTAAAATAAAAACAGACATCACGCGGGGCATGATGGGACTTGCATGTCACGATTATCGCAGCCGTGCCACCCAGTTGATCGTAATGCCGCCTTGTGTGCGCTCGTTAACGTGGAAGTTTAAAAGAGGGTAAAGGCGCGGCCCTGCAATTGCTGTACCGCGCCACCGCTGGCAGAAGGTGCCTTCACTAGAGATAGCTCAAGCAAGAGCCCCCTCTGGAGGCCACGTGGGGTCTACTCTCCCATCGCTGAACCGACGACGCCTCGGAAGCGGTGGGGAGTGACCCGCACGTACCCCACCGCACACGACTTACCAATCCGCCATCTCCCGCTGGGTGGACAGGGGCATGGGAGGGGTGGCGGGGCCACGGTCAGCATCCCGGCAAAGTTTAACACGAAACGCGAACGCCCCTTCCTTGTTTGTGCCGCCACCACCTCCACCCTCCTCCCCCACCACCAGGGAGAAAATCCGATCTACAGGAGCGCCGTGACCACCGTGGTGAACCCCAAGTACGAAGGGAAGTGAGCGCTCGGGGCGGCGGGGCCCCTGGGACGCCGGCCCTGGCGAGGACCGCTCCACCCTCCTCACTCACTCCACCCTCCTCACCCACTCCACCCCTCCCCTCGCACCACCCCCACCCCTCCCCCCCCGCCTCCCCGTGTTGAACCCATCCTCTCCCTTGTCACTTCAGAATCTGTAGTTAGGCCGGAGGAGGAATCCGATGAGCCATGAAGCTCTGTTTCACAGATGTCCAGCACGGGCACCACGGGGTGAGCGAGTTACCTCGCTCCCCCCTCCCCCCTCCCCTCCCCTTCCCCCTCCCCTCCCTCTCCCCTTCTCCTCTCCCTCCCCTTCTCCTCCCCCGCCCTTCATCGCCCAACGCACGAACCTTCTCGCACGCTCACCTCTGACCTTTGGCGGCACTTCGTAGGCCGGGGTGCGTCCCACTCCCCGGCCGTGGAGATGTCCGTCGTTTCGCACCCCCCCCCCCACCCCCCTCCTATGCAACCGTCGTCGCTCGTTACGTCCGTTCTGTGTTTTTTTTAAGAATCGTGTGAAATAATGAAAGAAAAAGACCACGCGCGGGTGTGGGTCACGTGACCCGTAATGAACACTAGCACTGCTCAAGTGAGTTTTGTGCCACTTTCCCGCGGGCGTTTATTGGCTGCCAGGGTGATTTAAATGTTTTTTTTTTTTTTACACGTGTCGGTGGGTTAGGACTTTTTGTTAAACGTCGAAGGTAAATACGCAGCCTTGCGGCGTGCAGAGACCTCCAGAGAGAGAACCCCCCCCCCCCCCCACATCCTGCCCCCTCTGTAGAGGCTTTTTGTTGGCCTACTCTTCCACACTGGACAACACACAGAGTGACGACACACAGAGTGACGACACACAGAGTGGCGACACGCAGAGTGGCGACACACGGAGTGACGGCACACAGAGTGACGACACACAGAGTGACGACACACAGGGTGACGACACACGGAGTGACGACACACAGGGTGACGACACACAGGGTGACAACACACAGAGTGACGGCACACAGAGTGACGGCACACAGAGTGACGACACACGGAGTGACGACACACAGGGTGACGACACACAGGGTGACGACACACAGAGTGACGACACACAGAGTGACGACACACGGAGTGACGACACACAGGGTGACGACACACAGGGTGACGGCACACAGAGTGACGGCACACAGAGTGACGGCACACAGAGTGACGACACACAGGGTGACGACACACAGAGTGACGACACACAGAGTGACGACACACAGAGTGGCGACACACAGAGTGACGACACACAGGGTGACGACACACAGAGTGGCGACACACAGAGTGACGACACACAGGGTGACGACACACGGAGTGACGACACACGGAGTGGCGACACACAGAGTGGCGACACACAGGGTGACGACACACAGAGGGACGACACACAGAGTGACGGCACACAGAGTGACGACACACAGAGTGACGACACACAGGGTGACGACACACAGAGTGACGACACACAGGGTGACGACACACGGGGTGACGACACACGGAGTGACGACACACGGAGTGACGACACACGGAGTGGCGACACACAGGGTGACGACACACAGGGTGACGACACACAGGGTGACGACACACGGAGTGACGACACGGAGTGACGACACAGAGTGGCGACACACACAGTGACGGCACACAGAGTGGCGACACACAGGGTGACGACACACGGAGTGACGACACACAGAGTGACGACACACAGGGTGACGACACACGGAGTGACGACACACGGAGTGACGACACACGGAGTGACGACACACGGAGTGACGACACACAGGGTGACGACACACGGAGTGACGACACACGGAGTGACGACACACGGAGTGACGACACACGGAGTGACGACACACAGGGTGACGACACACAGGGTGACGACACACAGGGTGACGACACACAGGGTGACGACACACAGGGTGACGACACACAGGGTGACGACACACGGAGTGACGACACACGGAGTGACGACACACAGAGTGACGACACACAGGGTGACGACACACAGAGTGACGGCACACAGGGTGACGACACACAGGGTGACGACACACAGGGCGACGACACACAGGGCGACGACACACAGAGCGACGACACACAGAGCGACGACACACAGAGTGGCGACACACAGAGTGACGACACACAGAGTGACAACACACAGAGTGACGACACACAGAGTGACAACACCCTCTCCATCATCATCATCGTCGTCGTCCTCGTGATGCTGCTGTCAAACCCAACAACGGTGTTAAACGTGTGACGGCCCTCCTCACGCCGATGATGTCTTGTCGGCGAAAGTGGACCCTCCCTCCCGCCCCTCTGAAAATTAGCGAAGAACACTGGTCTAGTCTCTTGGGCACCTCGTCGTGTGGCTGTGAGCGGGGGTGGGGGAACGAGATGGGAGGGCTTGGCCGGGCTGTGGGGGGCGGATCGCAGCACCTCTCGCTACCCCCGTGCGGGCAAGGAGAGCGGAGTGATGCGCCAAAGCCTTGAAAAAAAATCCCTCCCCCACCCACCCCACCGAAAAGAAAAATCGTTGCTTTTGAAATTAAATTTTTTTATAAGCATTATTATTATTTAAGAAAGCCTGAGGCCAAAAACAAATTAAAATGGAAAATGCAATTCCTTGCTGTTTTATGTAAGCACGCCAAACGCAGTGAAACCCACGGGGGGGAGGGGGGTGGGGGCGGTGGGTTTTGTGTTGCGAGTGCGTCGTCGCATCTGCTGTTGCTTCTGCTGCTGCTGCCGCTGCCATGCGCGTCGCGTGCCCTCGGCCAGCATTCCCTTTCCATGGTGCCGAGCGGTAAGAATTCCCATTGGGGGTGGGGGGGGTACGAGAGTAGCTGCGGCTGGCGGGACGTGACGGAGACGCCGTTCCGGCAAGACCGACGAGACCTCGGCTTTGATTCCAGGGGTGTCGGCAGCCCACCCGCGGTTAGACTACCGTACCGTCGTTGAACTTCTTTCGCACCGCCGTACGTAGCGAACCGTGCTGGTAGTAGGTGCTGGGAAAGGACAACGAAGACACGACAACAAGCGGTGTTGGGGGTGCACGCGCCTGTAGCCGTGACGACGGTCTCGGCCCAGTCGCCAAAGTGACTGCACGGAGCCCTCGCACGGATCGCGTGGTGTCTGCTTGGGCGTGAATTCCACCTCCCTGAGAATGTAACGGGACGTTCGCTTCGATCGCGCCGCGACAAAATGCGTGAGAAGGTGGCGGCACTCGCCACCAACTTACCGTGGCGGGGGGCGGCGGGGGATGAGAGGCATTTGGACCGGACCTCGGAATTAGTTCTGCGTCGTCACCTTCTACGGAGTCCGTTGTCCGGTTTCCCGAGAGGAAGTGGATTTTTGCCCGTGGCAACGCCGCGGCCTACAGCCGCGGTGACTTTCATCGGGGGATGTAAGGAAAGAGAGGACGAAACGAGCGTTGTAAAGAATCGTTATCCGCTCCGACGATCGTGCGCTCAACTGTCGCGTCGGCAGCTGCAGCAGGAGTTTCGCTTGTTCGACTTTGGTCCGCTCAAGCCGAGCGACCCACGGTGTTATCTTGTTCTGCAGGATTCTCGTGGCTCGGCTTTCGCGGTCGTGCCGCTAACGCTGCAGCGTAGCTCCCCGGCGTCTTGTAGCGTCGTATTCCTCCCCACCCCTCCCCGCCCCCGCCGCCGCCGCATGTCGTTCCCACACAGTGCACCGACGATCACGCTCGCACGTGCCAGATTACTGATTATTCAGTTGGCAGGACGCAGAGCGAAACGTCGGACTTGGTGAGGGACGGCGGCGCAGCGGCGGCGGAGAGGGCTCCCGAGCGCTCGAGGGACTTTTGCCTTAATTCACGCCCCCCGGTGCATTATGGGGGGGGCTTTAGGTTGGGTTCACACAGAGCCAGGTGCAGGCGTGGTGCTCGCGGTCGCATTTTAACGCCGAGACCACCGCCATCGTCATCGCCATCATGCCCCTGACGCTAATAAAATGGGTACGACATTGGGTGGCGTTACCGGTGGTCGTTTTATGGACGGAGTTGAGTCGACTCCACCCAAGCGCCCACCCCGCCATGGGAATGTGGAGTTGCCACCGAGCCCTCGGCAGAAGATTAATCCTCTCCGGCCGTGCTCGTGTTGACACGGGGAGCTCGCTCATCTCCAATGTCGGCGACGGATGATAAAATTAAATAAAAATAAAAACATGAAGGCGCATCCCTGCAATAGCTTGCTCGTACAACTTCTGCAGGGACGACATCAACTATAGCGGGGGGGAGGGGGTATGTTGGCCTACTTTTCCACTCTGGGAGTAGGGGGCGAACATTAATCGGAAGGGGTAAACCTCTGGACTCGCGTGTCTTCACGAATGCCGCCCCTGCCTGCCTCTCATCTCAGTGTGAACCCAGGTTTTGTTGTACAGTGTTTCCAGATGCAGTGTCTTAAGATGACGTAAAGCATCAGAGCTCTACTGCCTTATCGATTTCTACTTGATACAATTGCATTCTTGCTTGACGATTACAATTTCCATGGTTGCCATCATTCCCACCCGACTTTGTGAATAACGCAAAACTTTTTTGTTGCGTCGCTGCATTTACTCTGGTTCAAGGTGTCTCGTTGTGTTCGCGACTGTGCGCGTGTGGTTTTTAATTAACGAAAAAAATTATTTGCCAGGATGCTCGGCAAAGAAAAGAATGCCCGCCGCTGATTGGCATTGTGAGATTGTTACTTTGTTTTCACGCATCTACTGCTGGGGAGGGGGGGGGTGCTGCGTTCAGCGATGGGCCCAGAGCGCTCTGCAGTGGCGCTACCTACGCGGCTCTGATTGGACGGCGCCGAGCAACGGCATTGTGACGTCACGGACCTGCTCGGCCAATGAGCCCGATTGGCTGGCATTCGACACGCGCCCACCGACCGTTGTGAGCGCGGTGGTGCGTCTCTGGGCTGCTCACGAAGCCGTGCAATGGAGAAGCGCCCTGGAGCGCTCTGCCCAACTGAACGCCACCCCCACCGCACCCCCCTATTCCCCCGTGTTGTTCACGCAAGCCAACGCAGTCCTAGTAACGTACTGTAACACATGCAAGGTTTTCTTTTTTTTTGATTATTTAATAAGGAAAAGAAAGTAACGTGAATAATAAAAGTGACTTTTTGTAAACACAACTTGGTCGGTCTTGCGTCGTGGCCCATCGATGATGTGCGGAGCGGTGGTGCAGTGGCGAGCGCACCCCAAACTGTGCGTCCAGCCACCTGACTTTGCCTCAGGCTGACAGCAGTGGCGAGCCATGCTGGGGCCTTCCCCTAGGTCGTTTCAACCTTAAATGGGTATTCTTAGGTTTTTTCAGTAAAGGCACGTAGGTAAAAATAAATAATAAAAATTATAGAAATAATAATAGAAATAAAATAATAAATCACGACGTTTCGGGCGCAACACAAGCGTCCGTCATCAGGTGGGACAACCATAGCAAGAAACATTTTTTACCTACGTGACTTCACCGAAAAAACATAGAGTATGAATCCTTGCAGTCACGAAAGCTTCAAATCTCGACTGGAATTGGGTACCTGGTGGGTGCCTGGCGCGGCGTGTAGACGTTGCTTACCTGGGAGGCGGCCGAGCGTGCTGCTGGCCGTCACGGGGACCAGCGTGGTGAAGTATGGTCAAACATCTTCTTGGTTCTTTCGGTAAAGTCACGTAGAAGGGAAGTAATAAA